TTCGCTCGGGGTGGGGTGAGGCGTGTTGAGGGGGGTTAGTAGCGGATGGCCGAGTCCATCCGGCCAGCTACCTGGCCCTAACCTTGACACCGACAACAGGGGTCAACAGTGCGCTCGGAGGTCGCGACGGCACCGCACGCAGCAGCTCACCGGGATGCTGCGCGGAAGTGCATGCGTGTGCGCGCACACATGGGCCGGGTCCCTTTGCGCTCACACACCGCGGGCTGGGTCGCGTTCGACATGACCACGTGTCAATCGTGTCGTAAAAGATCTGAAGTACGGCAAATGTTTAGCAAAAACTATAAAAGCAACCAGAGGTAAGCTAGGAGGCCAACTCGCGTATTTTCTGAGTACGCTGAGGGAGGACTTTTTATATTTTCCATTCATTTCTATTGACATTTTCATCGTGGATTTAGAGGATTTGTGTGTATTTTCTCGTATTTTTTGGTATTTTTTATTATTGTATTGGTGCAAACATGCCCTTTTTTGAGTGGCCTCACTCGTCGAAAAGTGTGCAGTGAAAACGTAGAGAGTGTCGTTAAAGGTTCCGTTCGGCAATACCGGAAAAAAATTGCAGTTCGTCATTTCTGGCCTAGTTATCTCGAGTCCATATGGTTTACTAACTGGATTTTTATCTTTAGCTGGTAAAAATTTAGGGAATCAAATTTTTTGCACATTTGTGCCTTGGTTTGAATATTTTTTCGCATTCCTTTGAATAACATCGTGCATTTTAGCGCACAAATCTGTCCATAGCGAAACGTAGGTTCAACGTTAGGGTTGGTTTGTAAAAACATCGAAATAGATTCAGCGTACGCTTTTTACATTTTACATTTTTTACAGTGGTGTAAAGTAAGATCGTCTTCTACGGTTGCAGCAAGATGCAATCAAGCTCTCGCCAAATTTTAGACGTTTTGAGATAACAACTGTGGTATTGTTGACACCTGCAAGTCATAGACTGCACTGTAGAAGGCTTGCAATTCGTTTCACAACATTGCAAAAAATGTCGGTTCCTTGTATTGCGAGCAAAGTGTTTCCCAGTGCACATACGGAGTCCTCACAAACTAGTTATAACCCAAGCACCCAGCACCATTGTGTCTCACACTTCTGATCACAAATATTAAGACCAAGAAAATTTATTAGGATTTGTTTATACATGGCCAGAACCCATGAGGGGGCTACGCGTTTGTACCGAAATTCAGCGCTAAATCTGAGCATATACTCCAAAATGTAATTGCTTGCGTAAAACAGCACAAAATATTGTCAGGAAGTGTGGTATACAGTAGTACTGTCCAACACACTAAAATCTTTGGAGCATTTTTATTTGCAACTTTCTGATTTCTGTGTGTGTGCTACGCTTACGCATTTTTCAATACACCAGTGTGAACAAATGTTTTCATACTGGCGAATTGAAAAACGCGTAAGCGTAGCACGAAATCAGTAAGCTGTAAATACAAATCGTTCACAAGACGATAGCGTGTACAGTAGCGCGCTTGAGTTTTTAGACCATTGTAAAGAAAGGGACTGTTTAGTCCTATTAATGTGGACAATAAACCATTCAATCAATCAATCAAAAAAGAAATCAGTACGCAAGCTTGCTAACAATAATTTTCCGATGCAATACCTCAAGATTCTTTGCAACTCGCAAAGAATGAAGTTTGTATCGCACGTTTCTTGGAAACAATTCGGCGGCGTAGACAGCCCATTTTCTCATTGAAAGTCAAGCATCCGCCACTTTTAACAGGCTCCTAAAGAAAATGCCTATGCCGATAGTTGTGGTTTACTGATAAAACTGCAACTGGCGTGCACAAGGGCTTAACGTGATGTTGAAGTGTTTTGCTGGATATTTGAATACTGAAAAGTGTTAAACTACAGGGTTCGCCATGCATTTTTTGACCCTGTAAAGTATTCAAAGTTAATCTGAAACACTTTTTAACACCTATCCGCGTGCACCATGGTGAACACTACCATGTGCATGCCTGAATTTGCTCTTCTAGTGTCATCTTAGTGCACAGCTTAATAATAAATCCTGATAGAATGATCTAAAGACTTTAGATTTTACCTGTCATAATGCGATTTTAACTTAGAATTAGTTACG